AAAAACATTCCACGATTTCCGTTTATCTAATCCACAGTAACTTTATCTATTTACCTACAGAGATTTGAGAAACAACGAGATGAAAGAGCTCCCGTCAGGGATATTTTCAAATCTCTCTTCCTTGCAAAGACTGTAAGTTAACGAAGCATTATTTCATTATTTTTTATATAAATGACCTCGAAGGATACAATCACCTCTTTTGGCACCTGCAGGTTGGGGGAGGAGGGGTGGGGAGGGGGTCCACGGTCGATTTATTACCCATAGTTTGGCTTCGTTTTTAGCTTCCCTTTTTTAAGTCTTTAAAGTTTCTCTTTCAACCACAGTCCTTTGAGTGCATACAAGTCAGAAGCAACCATGTCTGGATTAACCGAAATTCAGGCTCGTCTTTCCGTCTGTTTCCATCGTGTTATATGTCTGAATTCCTTCACCTTCTCTCTTATTTTTCTGATAACCTTGCTTGACTAACTATTGCTAAAATTGCTCTGCTAGAATTACTTTGCCTTGCCTGTTTGCTCGGTAACTTTTTTTAAAAGCCCAGACTAGGCTAAAGGTTTTTGCGATGTTCGCTTGCTAAGAATTTACAATAGCGCTAGCTATGCCGTTTTTAAACATCATACTTATCCCTTGAACAGTGCAACACGTATGTGTTGCGCTGATTTTGGAAGTGCTTCTTCTTCTCGATAATCAAGTAATAAAAGAAATCACCTAAATGCAAATTATGACAGAAACTTGGCACGCCCAAGAATTAACGACCACTCGTAAAAGCTTGGGTTTGTTCTGGAAAGGCGTCGCCTTAAACAATTTAAAACCCTTACTGCTTAAAACCTTGATGGGTGAATTTAGAATTTAGAACAATACAGTAGACCGTTTCTTGATACGATCCTTCTGATAGGCAATATCTTCCGGTTCCAACGTCAGCACTCACTTTCACGTTGAGACTTCTAGTATACAAAACGTTGGAATTCTCCAGTTGCTTACTTCCTTAATAACATTTCGTCACCTTTATAAAGAAAGAATAGATGGCTTGAAATTTTTCACTCCCAGTTTTATCAAGTTGGCGATTTTTTTTTTGTATTTTATTTATTTATTTTCTTTTTACAGGTATAGTACAAACAACATACAGATCGAAACATACAAACATTACAAAATTTACAACAACTACCTTAATTACAAAAAAAAAAAAAAAAAAAAAAGAAAATAGAATAAATAAATAAAAAGCTACACTGCACTACACTACAAGGCTTACATAACTTATTCGACTTGAACTTAAAATACAGAGTAATACAGGGAGTATTAGAAAAACGAAGTTTGGATAACAACTACTGTTGTATCAATGGGAGTAACGGCTTCCATTTTTTATCATGGAAATGGATTTTGTTGTTTCTTCTCGCGATAAAACGTACGGTTTGAAACGTTTTTTTAAATTTATCGACTAACAGTCTTACACATAAACAGCCCTTATTTAACTTACAGCTGTAAATAAAATATTTGCTTTCAAGAATGATGTAATTGACTAGAATGCTTATATTATCTGTATCTAAGATCCCAAAAAGGACATTCATGATATCAAACCTAATAGTTATATTAAAAGAATCAAGTACAGACTTTAAATCATTCCAAAACATGCTTACTTTTGTACAATGGAAAAAGAGATGTTCTATGGTCTCCAACTCCTTTTCACAAAAATCGCACAAGGGAGAATCTACTTTTTTGAACTTAAACAGCATCTTGTTCGTGTATAAGATCCTGTTTAATATTTCATATTGGAATTCTCTTAATTTAGTATCCAATGTTGTTTTGAAGGGCAGTAGATATATCTTTTCCCAGTCCAACTGAAATGTGTGTGTGCTGAAAGCTTCGTTATATTTCTTTTGCGCTGTTGGTATACTGGATATCTTAGAAACAAAACTGTCATATAATGACTTTGATTTAAGATTTTGGAAATTGACTTTTTTCCCTTCAATACGTAACTTGAAATCAGTTTGGATTAGATCATGAGTTTTTGAAGAGATAGAGTTTTTATTTGTTTTTAATATTTTGCGCCATTCTTCAGGAAAAGCATTGAAGAGACTGAAAAGTAGAAAATGTTCAGCTGGTTAGAGAGTTGAATACAATGGTTCCTTGTTCGACTTGAAACCTCCCCACGTGTCGTAGAGGTCTCCAATTTTTACAATTCCAAGATCAATCAGCCTACTGTTATAGACTGACTTTGATTCAATGCAAATGAACTGGTTGTTCCATATGACCTGATTTGCTATTTCAGAGGATGAGGAGGGGTTGTCTTCATTTAAAAGGGTCCAAAAAGATGGGCCACGCTGCTGATCATTTAGACTGTCAATTTCTAAAGTTATTGCATGGTGATCCGTTCTTATAGCTGTCACTATGTCGACTTTAGCTACGTCATCTTGTAATAGGTCACTAATGAGCCAATAATCAAGGCGTCTTTGAATAATTGGGCTTTTTTGTCTCCAAGAAAATTTCTTGCTATTAGGATTACGGATTCTCCAGATGTCAACTAAATCATAATTCAGCATAATGTCCTCCACACACTTAACTGAGTCTTTTAACACAGGGTTTCCACCCGAACAATCTAGGTCTGGGTCCATAGTTACGTTCCAATCCATCTTGAATAGTTGTCTCTAAACTGATGAGGTACCTTCCATCCTCATCCGATCGAATTGATTTCAATTTGAAGTCAAAGGATTTACGTATAAGGATGGCGACCCCACGACTATGGTTAGAGCCATGAGTAAAGTAAATGTCCCCGGACCACTGCTTTTTCCATTGATTTTCAATCTCTTCAGTGCTGTAAGTTTCCTGCAGAAAGCAGATGTCTGAATTTTGCTTGTATAGCCAGTTGAAAATGGACTTACGTTTTTCAAAAGAACGGATACCCCGAACGTTCAGCGAAAGAGTTTTAAACTTTAAGTTGTTGAAATCCATTGAAATTTGCATACGTGTAGTGGAAAAAAGACAACAACAGTAGCTGTTATTCCCAGAAGGGTCACTGTTACTCGAACAATTAACGCATTCCTGATTTTGTCAAGTGCAAACTGAATAAATATAGAATAACATACATAACAAAACAAAAGAAACGAGATGAAAAACGTAGCCAGTGTAAAGAATTAAACTGTTGAAGCTACGCCTGGACGAGATCAAGTGTTATACTTTTGTTTAAATCGAACTTCAGAAGAGAGCTAAGGAATATGCTAATCGATAGCTCCCAATAGAAACGAAAAAAATAAGAAGTGAACTACTTCCTGCGAAGTTGGCGATGCCTTGTCCAGCATACAGCGCCCTCGTCCTACTTCAGTTCGTAAGGATAAAGAAAGCCGCGTCAGAGTTTTTTTCCGTTCAGATGAGTTAAACATTTTTGAAAACAAGAAAAAAATGAGATTTATTTCTAAAAGAAATAAATGGTTTTATACTGAATGTGACTGATCAATATTGTATCTCCACCTACCAGCAAAGGAGGTTTTTCCTGTCATCCGGGTGATTTGTCACGAAAGTGTCATTCATGTCACGGGTCATGTAAGTCAGGAAAGCGAGGCACAAGGCCTCCTTCCTTGCGTTACAAGACAGTCAGAAACACTAGTTCCTTGCTCTTGGCTGTGGCGGGTGTGCCCTCACCTTTTCTGGGATAATGTTCTTGTTTATCTGGTTTTCCCAGCTTTATATGCTTTAATTTAATAAACGGCCACTCCCGAGGCCAAAATATCCCATAATGGGTTTGTGATTATTTTGTGTCCCAGCAAACAGAGCTCACCCAAAGCTAGCCTCTGTTAACATCAATAACTGACTTAATTTGTAAAGGAAAGTTTAGCATAAATACTAATTTCGAAAGAAAAGACTCTTAAAAGGCGAGGAAGTCTCAAGAGGCCATAAAGGCTTATAGGTCAGACTTCCTCTTTATATCAGACCTAGTTGTTATTATAGGTTTTAGTTAAATCTTTAGGCAATAGAAAACGTTTTCCGTGTTTGCATAGCCTGATATGAACACGAGAGGGATTGGGAGAATTCGAGGCAGTTATGCTACTGTAATTCAAGTCAACATAAATCCTCTTACTCTTACAATCATTGTATGATAGATTTCTAATAACAAATTCTCATTTCAAGACATCTTTCACTTTAATGTTCAAATCAGGTACCTTAAATCCTTTAAAAACTCTGCTACACTGCATCTTGGTTGGGTTTCACAACCGGACACCCACTCAGCGTGTCTTCATCAACCAGAACTCCTCTTAAAGTTTTAATATAGACTGTGGTGTTCCACAAGGTAGCTATAGCGACATAGGGTCGATTTTATTTATCATTTATCTGGGAGATTCAACGTCGTTAAGAACCACCTACCTAGTATCCATATGTATGCAGATGACATCCAGCTGTATTTGTCCTTCTTGCCATTGTCGACATCTCCTTAAGATGATGTACTCAGAGCAATCCAAGCTTCAGTCTCAGACAAAAATAGTTGGGAGCCTTCCACCCAACACTGTATCTACTTCTGGCCCGTCTCCTCGTCCTCCCAATGTTGTTTATCGCGGTTAACTCTCCAAATCTTGCACACCAACATTGGGAGGGCGAGAAGACAGCAAAGCGCCCCAACAATTTTGACTGAGACTGTTGTATCGCAGAAGTTCAAGCTTGGATGGTCACCAACCGACTCAAGATAAACGATACAAAAACGGAGTTTCCCTTTGTGGGTTCGCGCCAACAGTTGAGCTAGGTACAACTTGAATCAGTCACTGTCGAAGATTCTGAAATCAGAGTCCGTAATCTCGGGGCATGGTTTGACGGGTACTCATATGAGCAGTCTACAGTAAGGCCTTCCGCGATCTATATTTCATCAGACAGATCCGAAAGTATCTATCGGAAGATGCTACCAAAGTCCTGGCTCATGCCTTTGTAACATCTCGTCTCGTCTATATTGCAACTACCTGCTCTTTGGTTTTCAAAATACCAGCGTGATCGGCTGCAGAGGATTCTTAGCATCTGCATCTAACCGCATTGTCTGCTTGGTACCCAAGTTCAGTCACCACACACCAGCCTTTATAATCTACATTGTTTACCAGTGCACTAGTGCTACAAGTGCTACCCGTCCACCGAGCTCACGTTGGTGTTGGCCCTGTTTACCTAAAGAAGTTTCTAAGTTTTAAGGAGAGTGGTCCCTACAATTTAAGATCTAATGCCAGCTGCGAATTAAAGCTCCCCAAAACAAACTCCGAGACCCATGGGGACAGGGCCTTTTCGCACTTGTTGGCCCCTCACTGTGGAACACTCTCCCTTCAGCTATCAGGAGTATTCGGAGTGTTCAGGTTTTTCAAGCAGGCTCTAAGGACCTTTTGATTTCGTTTGGCATTTGCCCAGTAAACTAATTCGCGAACAGTGATTGCGATGTTTTATTTTTATTTTTTCTAAATATCTGTTATGTTTAGTGTACGTTTGTCAGCTTTTGTTAGCGCCTTAGAATATGTATACAGTTTTAGCGCTATTTAAAATTATTAAAATATATATACCTCTTATTAGCCGAGTTTTCGGGACCTACTGTAAATTACGGACCGAGGATCCCTAATTTACAGTACGGACCGAAACAGCGAGGCTAATAAAATGTTTATTATATGGCTTCTTCCAGTTTGGGCGACAGGAAACAAGTGCAGGACGTGCGATTTGACAATCATTTGACAGACGTCAAGAAAGAAAACAATAGCACAAAACAAAGGGTTTCCGAGGAAGTGAAAACAAATTCTCCTTGTTGAAAAAGTTTATTTTGTCAAAAACTAAGAGCGCTTCGAGTTTTAGCTCTTTAATGTAACGCTGGAGTATTTTGGAAACCGGGCACTGTGTCTTTCTAGAAGTCGTTTCCATCTTTCCTCCGTTGGTCCTTGTAAAAAAAAAAAAACACTGCAAAAGGCAAAGAAGCTTTTCAAGGTAAGTTTGTTGTCATTGTCGAAGGATTCGCTTGTTAATTTTTTTGGGAAAACCTCTCGAATTTCTGCCAGTTCATTCTCGTCTTCAAGCGTGATCCGCGTTAAAATTTTCAAACACGGATCATAGATTCTTCCACGGAAAGGTTACGATTCAGTTTCTACATCAGCTTCGTTCTCGATCAAACAAAGCTAGGTTAAAATCTGGAAAGAAAAAGTCGACATCCCAGTCCTCAGGGTTTACAGACATATTTTTAAGTATATTCGGTCAAAATTAAGAGCACTGTAAGTATTCACTCGCCAATGTGACGCTGGAGTCTTTTGAAAAGTAGACATTGTGTCTGGCTCGGAGTCGCTTCTATCTTTCTTTCGTTGGAAAGGAACAGCTGAAGGAATTACTCATTTTCTCTTAGGCAAAACATCTCGAATCTCTGTCAGTCGATTTTCGTCTTCTTAACTGTGTACTACGATAAAATTTTCAAACACTGACTAGAATCCTCTTCGATAAGATTACGAGTTAGTTTCTTCGTCGCCTTCGTTCACAAATAAACACAGTTTAAAACGTTGAAGGACAAAGTCAAAATCTAAGTCCTCAAGGTTGATAGACGTCTTGTAACTTAATTTCAACCTTTTTTTCCGAGGTAAAGAGATTTAAAGCTCCGAAATGAGCATTTTCTTTGCAATTTTGGTCCGTATAGCAAGTTACGAACCGCAAATTGACCAATCGCATAGCGAAAACAGACTCAGCCATATAATAATATATTATATGAGCTTTGGCCATATTTCTGAAAAACAACATGGTTACCCAAACTGCCCACACCGTTGGATTAACTGAAATGTGACTGATATATGCGATAAGTTTGCTGTATGGAGAAAGTTTAGGGACTGTAGAGTTATTTACAATACATAAGGAGGTTCTCCCTTCAGGCTTTCTTTTGCTGGTTTTTGTCGATAAAACAGCCGCACAGTGAGCTTCTTTTAATTCTTTGGAGGCATTGTGCGCTCGATTAGCCGCCAAAAAGCAAAGAACAAAGACACATACAGGGTGAGAGGAATGGCTTGCTGACTTAAGACTTCGCAGTATTCCTCGGAACTGTAAGAGGCTAAAAGATTTATACATACAGAAATCACTTATAAAATTGAACACAAAGGACAGCACCATCTTTAAAAAAGTAAAAAATAGCAAAAAAAAAAGAATAAGTACCTTGAATTTGAGCGTGACGGTTTCGTCCATTCAACCAAAAAAACAAAAATGGATCAGTCCATCCCAGAAGTGCTAGAAAGCCTTTCTTATGCTAATTTTGTCGTCACCACACCCCGCCATGGCTTACGCGGATCCGACCTCCATTTTTGACGACTGAAAATGGAACAAAATTCGTGCCCGACGTGATCTGTGTGAAGCCAACTGAGGTGTCAAAGAAGGAGAAGTTCCAGTGTTTCTTTCTATACAGTTCTGAAAGTGTCTCCTAAACGGTTACGATGGCTTTGATCAACGTTTGGCTTAGATCCTAGCAGCGACACACTTTTAATATTTCGAAGATATAATTTTCAAAAATCCAGCCTCAGAGAGCTTCATAAAGAATACAACAAATATTATTTGAAGTACCATGGCTCCAAAGGTCTTGTTTCTTCTTCTTCTTCTTTTTTTCCCAAACGTATTTCAGCTGCAGAGCGGCGCGGACAAGTAACCCCAAGTAATTCCACTGATCAAGGGCCAAGCCCGAAACGTTTAAGACAGCTCGAGCTCCAAATTCTTTTCAATAAGTTTGCGAAAATCAGTACCAAACATCATTATAATACGCGATTATCTGCAAAGGAATGTTTCTCTGTCAATTTCTCTAGAACTGAAAAAAGTGAAAAAAATATTTCACTAGAACTGGTGTTTCTATTTGGAATTCTATTCCACATTCTGTTAAAACTCTCAACTTATCTAATTTTCGTAAAAAAATTAAATCACTACTCCTTAATACCCTCGATAATGAAGATAATTATTTGAATGTTACTTATTTAAATAATAGAATATTTTAAGAAGTTAACCTGATATGTTGTGTATACCTCCATTGTAAGTTTAATCTTTTATTTTCTAATAACAAACCCTGTGCTTGAGTTTGAGCGAGGGGTTTTTCTTTCTAGGTATGTTGTTATATTTCTTTTCTTTTCCTTTTTTCTTAATATGAAATTTAATAACGCCTTTATTTATAATTTTTGTCCTGCCTAGATTAGCACTCTAGCTATTTGCAGGGCATAAAATATTGTAAGCTTATGAGTCTTAAAAAAAATACATTGTTGTTGTTGTTGTTAATCGGAGAAGAACTCAAACCATTTACTTTCTTACTTTCTTAAGTACCATGCAGCTTATCGGAATTTGTTTCCGTTATTGGGCTATACTAGTTGTTGACAGATGATTAAATAAACATCTTGGCAAATTATATACTTTGAGACAATAATTGTGCCAGCACATTATTGCTAGTAAAGTAAGTGAAAAAGTCTTAGCCATGAGCCAGGTGTATGTAATAAAACAGTCGCTTTTCTCTTACATTTGTGACAGTTACGTTTGCGCTTGTGCTACTGTAGTGCACAAATTAACAGGACGGCTATCCATATTAATTAATTAAGTTTTCACGGCTGACCCATTTTTCGGACGCAAACTTTGTTGGTTTGTCCACCATGCCCGCAATTCGTGCTCAAATTCATGATCAGGACAGCTGCACACGGTAAATTTGGCAACTTTGACCGACTTTACTAGGAGTTCCTTGCGCTTACCGGTACATACACGACTTTAGGTCCTCCTCCGGTGCCCAAATTCTTTCCGTGCAGACCATGATAAGCAATAACTGGTTGAGGCTGAGTATGGTGATAATAATAGTAATAATAATAATGATAATAGTAATTTATAAAAAAAAAATTGCTCATCAGATAAAAATACTTCAGATGCTATATTGAAAAGTTAAGAATCAAATCCAAAGTACTGTTCTATCCAAGTAAAGAAAAATGAATAAATAAATAAATATACTGTCTTTTAAAACTTTTATATAAGTAAATCAAGTAAAAACAGTTCTAAAATCTAATATCTATACCATAATATGTATCTTAAAAACTAGTCTGTTAAAAAAGCTATTTTTAAAACGTTTAGTATTTACATTAGGTGTTACAATGGGTGTATTTCTAAGTCGCTCTGATGAGACCTTATACCTGGAGAGGAGATTATTAAATGGATGGTCGCAGTTATAAGAATTATAAGATAGCATTAACACACTCAAAAGTTACAACTACATCGATTTATCCATACGTGGGTCACCTTAAGCATTTTTTCCTTCACTCCAGTTTTCCACTGTAACTTTATTTATTTACCAGGATTTTTCCCAGCGGGGGGGGGTCACAGAGGCTACTCGTTATGTTAAGCAGGGACACCATCCGGGGATCGCCGACTATATATGGTTTATACCGCTGCTCTCCCTCGTGTATCAGCGGGCTCAGTCGTATTATCGCGGCATGAAGGCCCATATTAACTAAAGACAAGAGCGTTGACGAAAATACTTTACAAAAAAACAAATTTTAAAAAAGTAGGCTTTTCAACAATGGCTTTTACGGACAAGATATTGTCATGGCGTTTTCGCCACCTGAATATTGTAGGTTGTTTGCTCAAAAGAAGGCCTACCAAGTGGGGATCACGGGCACCCCAGGACCCCCCCCCTAGCTACGCCCCTGTGCGAACACTGTAAGCGAACGAATCGAAGCACTATTTCATTATTCTTTTATATAAATGACCTCGAAGTATCGATATACCTGTTTTGGCATCTTCGGGTTGGGGGAAGAGAGGTGATGGAGACGGGGTGAACGGTCGATTGATTACCTGTAGTTTGGTTTCAACTTTTCAAGCTTTCTTTTTTTAGGTCTTTAAGGAGTCTCCCAGTTCAGCCACAATCCTCTGTGTCCATATAAGTTAGAAGTAATCATTTTAAGTTCAGGATCATCCTTTCGTCTGTTTCCATCACGTTATATCTCAGAATTCCTTCGCCTTCCCTCTAACTTCCCTGATAAGCTTGGTTGACTATCAATTGATAGACTTTCCTTTTTTTCGTGAATAGTGTGACCAACTTTTCCGTAACTTCACCTTTAAAGCCCGTCTGGCCTAAAGTTTTTTGGTCAATTTGCATAAGAATACCGTTTCAAAATTTGGGGTAACTTTTGCAAGTTATTTTACCTACCTGTATCAATTAAGATGCGATGCT